ATCTATCTATCTATCTATCTATCTATCTATCTATCTATCTATCTATCTACTTACCTACCTCCCTACCTACACACCTATACACCCATACATGGAGAACAGGAAAGGACTTAGAAATAAGGGGAATCGGACAGTAAATGAGGTTGTTTGTTATTGTGTGTTTTCCTATTTTAAACATCTTGTCAGTGTTTCAACAATTTATTAGCTGGGCCACCCAAATTCAAAAGTTTCAAAGTTTACCCCAAAGGTGTTTCTCCCCCACCCACCCCCCAAAAAGGCAACTGGACTTGCTTGGGGTTTTTCTTTTTTGCTTCTCATCCAAGAAGCCAATTCCTCTGTCCCTTCAATCACCCTCTTTTCCTTTTGAAAACTCTTGCTGTTTTGGCAATAAAAAATGTATGTGTTTTGAATTGCCACCAGGACATTTCCTAACCAGCTTTTAATGTCTTCATTAGCCAGTGAGCCAGTCTGGTGGGAAGGCTTCGTCACATGCCAATCCAGTGAGTAAAAAGCTGATTTTATTGGCTAGAATAATTGCTTGGGCTTAATGGCAGGTGTGATCTGCCTTTCAGCTGGTCCTTATCTCAAGGTGAAAATAGTCTATGTAATGTTTTGATTAAAGCCTACACTGACTTTACCTGAACTATCTAGCTTTTCCATCGCCTTTCCGTGGAATCGATTTGTGGTTGCTGCCCACCAATTGCCCTTTTTAAACAAATGCTTGTCACAGGACAGGAAATTTCCAGATGAACCTCGTTCTGTGTTGGATCTGACCTTGATAATGCTCGCCTTTATAGTCTGTTTAATGCTCTTGGCTAAAAGCCGGGTTAAAAATTAGAAGGCAAATGATCAAAGTGACTTTGGAAATGTTTATTTGGAAAAAAATAATAATAATCCCATGCATAACTTTTGGTTAGGGAGGTGGGGTGTGTGTGTCATTTTTCCAGGCAGTCCTTGAATTACAACCATTCATTTAGTGACGGTTTAAAGTTACTACAGCACTGAAAAAAACTCTGTTAATCTGTACATCTGTAAAAGGGACATATGTCCATTTTTCGCTTTTACAACCGTTGCAGCCTTCTCCATGGTCACGTGATCAAAATTTGGGTGCTTGGCAACTGGCATGGACTTATGACAGTTGTATTGTCCTGGGTTCAAGTGCAACCTTCCCACCTGGCTTCCGATAAGCAAAGTCAAGCCAGATTCACGTAATGACCGCATGATTCCCTTACCAACGGGCAGTGCTTTGTTTAACAACACGGCCAGAAAATGAAGCACAATTCGTTTAACAGCTGCCTTGCTTAGCCATGGTTATTTTGGGCTCAATTGTGATCATAAGTCGAGGACAATCTGTAATTGTCTTTGTAGCCCCACTGGAAAACATTTACCCAGTCACACTAGAACTACACTTTAACTGAGATAAGGTATAATAATGATAGTATCTTCCCTCTTTCTTATATTCCAGTAAGTCAGGAAGAAGCTGACTTCTGAGCCCCTTTCAAAATTTACCTTGTTTCCCAGGACTAAAGAATATTTTATCCCCCTTGCATGTTTCTTGTAAGGTTTCTCCTTACAGATTTGCTTGTGTGAAGCCCAATTTATCACCTCAATAATTATTTATGTTTTCCCCTCCCCACACCCACCCCTCCCAAAAACAGGTGTCAGGAAACAGTTCAAATACTGAAGATGGATCGCCGAATATGAATATGATCTACCCAGTAAGTGAAGATGGATGTAATATTTTAAAAATACAGATTTGGGTCCCACCCTGGGCAAAAGTTAGTTGTGAATGTATCAAGTCTATACAGGTGGACTTTGCTTAGTCACTGCCTTGTGCAGTGACTGTTTCAAGTTACGACCCTGTTGCAAAAAAACAAAACAAAACATTGCAACCCAGGGGTGCTTTGACAAGCTTCACAATATCTCTCAGTCCTGCAGTTGCCATTGCAATCACGTGTAGGATCTGAGCTGTTCCCATTTGAAGCCATGCTCTTAATTTGGCATCTTAACAGCAACGGGGCTTCCATAAAGTTGTGCCTGCTAAATCCTTCTTCACAGCTGTGCAGAGAAAATGCGTCTTTTGCTTTGCCCAATTTGCTTAATATCAAGTTTAGGGCAAGTGTGTCCAACCTTGGCAACTGTTAAGACTTGTGGATTTCAAATCCCAGAATTCCTCAGCTAGCCCTGCAACTGCCTTGTGCAGCCCTGCTGGCTGGGGAATTCTGGGAGTTGAAGTCCACAGGTTTTAAAGTTGCCAAGGTTGGACATCCCTGTAATTTATATAGAATGGGATGGGATGGAATGGGATGTGATGGAATGGAATGGAATGGAATGGAATGGAATGGAATAGAATAGAATAGAATAGAATAGAATAGAATAGAATAGAATAGAATAGAATAGAATAGAACCTTGGAGGTCTTCTAGTCCAACCCCCTGCCTTGGCAGGAAACCCTACACCACTTCAGACAGATGGTTACCCCACATCTTTTAAAAAACTTCCAGTGTTGGAGCATCCACAACTTTTGGAGGTAAATTGTTCCACTGATTAATTGTTCTAACCATCAGGAAATGTCTCCTTAGTTCTAAGTTGCTTCTCTCCTTGATTAGTTTCCACTCATTGCTTCTTGTCCTACCCTCAGGTGCTTTGGAGCATAGCTTGGCTCCCTCTTCTTTGGGGCAGCCCCTGGGATATTGGAAGGCTGCTATCATATCTCCCCTAGTCTTTCTTTTCATCAAACTAGACATATTCAATTTCTGCAACTGTTCTTTATATGTTTTAGCCTCCAGTCCCCTAATCCTCTTTGTTGCTCTTCTCTGCACTCTTTCTAGAGTCTCAACGTCTTTTTTATATATCGTGGTGACCAAAACTGAATGCAGTATATTCCAAGTGTGGCCTTATAAAGTAGTATTAACATGTCACGTGATCTTGATTCTATCCCTCTGTTTATACTGGCATGCACAATATTTTAAAACAATAGTAATAATAAGTCCTCTGCTACTAGTCTGACGTGAAAATATTTGCTAACTCTTGCTTAAATCCTTCTCTTTTTTTTACCAGTATTATGCCTACTGCTGCATTCTGGGCTTCATTGCATGCTCCGTGTTCCTTCGAATGAGTTTTGAACTCAAGCTAATGTTGCTCTCGGGAGCCATCGTGGGGTATTTCGTCATATTTAACAGCAACCCAAGTGTCACCTGCGACCAGGAATGCGCCGAGAAGTAGGAAGAACTTGTTATCTTGAGAGTAACTTTGCCAGGGGGTGGGCTGAGGTGGGGTGAGAGCCATAATGAAGTCATATTGAAAGAGATCGAGTTATTCAGGTCTGTGGGGACTATTTTAAGATGCCGTTTCCCACCTGAAAACATTGTGGTGGTGCCTATTGCTTGGACTGAGTGCTACAAAATGTGATAAGGGCCCACTGGATTGTTTCTTTGATGTCGCTATTGTAAATAGCATTCGCCTTTCTTCTAGTTGCATTCTTTATTTTGAGCACTGAAATGAAAGTTCTAACAAGTTTGAAGTGACCTCACATTTCTCCTTCCTTCCTTCTTCCCTCCCTCCCTCCCTCTCTCTCTCCCAACACACATCCTCTCTCTTTCTCTCCTTCTGTTCATTCCTTCCTCCCTTCCCCTCCTTCACACAAATACGCTTCCTCTCTCCTCCCTCCCTCCCTTCCTTCCTCTCTCTTTCTCTCCTTTTGTTCTTTCCTTCCTCCCACTCTCCCTCTCCTTCACACAAACATATTTCCTTCCTTCCTTCCTTCCTTCCTTCCTTCCTTCCTTCCTTCCTTCCTTCCTTCCTTCCTTCCTTCCTTCCTTCCTTCTTTCCTGAAAACCACTTCACTATTTCTCTTGAGGAAGATACTTTTAACAAATATTAGTGCAAGTTTTCTTTCTTATGCATAATGTAGTTCAGACTTTGGGATCTTTTCAATCATAAGCATGTGTATTTCATGCAATTGTTCTAATTTGTTCTTTTATTTCCCACTTCAGGCTTTTTATAAAAAATCCCAAAGTGATGATCAATTTGTACCTGGCACTCTTTTATATAACTCTGGTTCTGTTGTCCAAGCAGGTATGGATTTTTCTGGGGCTTATGTTCTATATCACCTCAAATTTTCAGCCCAGTAACTGGGAAAGTTGACCCCAATACCAAGAAGTGTCCTTCTGTCACTCATTATTGTTCTTTACATCTGTCACTGTCATTGTCGTTTGTTCACAGAACAAATGTATCAAATCACAAGGTACACAATAGAAACTCAACTGTGAATAACTAAAACGTAGATCTCCTTTAAAACTTGGAAAATAACCTAATTATATTGCAAAATTTTCCCCCAGTCCTCATGATAGAATAGTATCTGGTGACCTTTTCTGAGAATTCTGAAATTCTCAGAAATCTGTTAGGAGAAATGCATTTTCTTCCATAGAATAGCCAAAGTAATTAGCAAAGAGCAATCCAAAGTGGCACATTCAGTGTGATGAACAACTTAACAGAATAGGATGTTGATTCAACACATCCTCCATGGTGGAGTAGGACTCCTGTAAGCGAAAGCCATTGTTGCAAGAACATGAAGCTTGACGTTGACGTCACAATGGACTTTTGTCATTATTTTCTTAATGCACAATTTTAATGCTCAAAAACTATATGGAAAGAAGACAAGAGTAAAGCTTTTGAGCCATGGGGGTGTGACAGTGAAAGATATTGAATCAAACAAATTCCTTTTTCACGATAATGTTGTTTTCTGATGGAACTCCAACTAGTGCCTTTGGTAACATCTGCTTCCTAATAGTGGAAATATATTATCCCCGTGTAGCTAGTGATGCTCACAAAATCAAAAAGAACAAATCCCAGCCCTTTGGTACACACATAAAGCATTCATTATAGTCTAATTTTCCCCTGAAAGGCACATTGCTATTTTAAAACTGCATTTAATTGTTTATCCCAAGGCATTGCTCTGGGATGTCTATATTGAATTAGCAATCATTTGATATTCTTCTTCTTAATAATTTTATTGTTTGAGCTGTATGCCTGTGAAGTGGCTATGATTGCGTGGATCTGAGCATAAATCCCCATAGATGCGTGTCTGTACAAATTTGGGGCCTTTATATTAAAATGTAATGGCAAATTATCCATCTACAACCATTACAGTTCAGGGGGGAAATGAACGGTGATTTAGATAGGGAGGCTTAAGTGCCAAAAAGCGGAAACGGACCATGTTGTATTTTTGTTGTTGTTAAGAAAATACAGAGCCTTATTCCCTTTAGAAGTACAATTTATTGTTTATATTTGTTGTACGCTGCCCAGAGTCACTTGCTCATCAAATGGGTGGCTCTGTAGATTAGATATAGAGATAGAGATAGAGATAGATAAAGAGACAGACAGACAGACAGATAATATAGTTGGGTAGGTAGGTAGGTGGGTAGGTAGGTAAAGAGATAGTGATAGAGTTTTGAGAGATAGATTATATAATTAGATAGATAGATAGATAGATAGATAGATAGATAGATAGATAGATAGATAGATAGATGATAGATAGATAGATAGATAGATAGATAGATAGATAGATAGATAGATAATATAGTTGGATAGGTAGGTAGGTAGGTAGGTAGGTAGGTAAAGAGATAGTGATAGAGATTGAAGAGATAATTAGTTAGATTGTAAGATTGTTAGATAAATAGATGGATGGATGGATGGATGATAGGCAGATCCTATACATCTTAAAATTTATAGGAATCATTGAAACATGCAAGTCAATCAGATTAAGGGGATTGTATCTGGGTTGTCATAAATCAATTGTTTTCTAACCTTTCCAACATCAACATGGGATAAACTTTGTATTTGTTGCTGATAGTTTTGGTAACTGTCTGTTTGTTTGCAGATAGACTATTATTGTCGGCTAGACTGCCTGCAGAAAAACAAATTTAAAAAAGAACATGAGTCATTTGAAACCATGGAGAATGTAAACAGGCTACTGCTGGAAAACGTCCTCCCAGCTCATGTGGCGGCTCATTTTATTGGGGACAAATTAAATGAGGTATGGAAAAATTCACCGTAATATTACGTAGCAGATGTTCAGTTGAAGATGCTGGTAGCACTTCAATTGATCTTGAAGAGTTGGTCATCCTTGCCCTCAAATTAAGAAGAAAGCAGTAGGATCCTAGGTACTAAGAGAAAACATTCTCAGTGGCTGGTTCATATAACGCAAGGGTCTTCAAACTTGGCAAGTTTAAGACTTGTGGACCTCAACTCCCAGAATTCCTGAGCTAGCATGACTGGAGGAGGAATTCTGGGAGTTGAAGTCCACAAGTCTTAAAGCTGTCAAGTTTGAAGACCCCTGATACAACCCATTAAGCCTGGCTCCTTGATTAAGTCACCATGATTATGTTTAGGCATAATAGTAGGTCATAAACCATGATTTACAAGCCACAGAGCCTGGATTCCCATAACAGATTAAGCCAAAACTAGCATAGAGTATAGTTAGAATAGAATAGAATAGAATAGAATAGAATAGAATAGAATAGAATAGAATAGAATAGAATAGAATAGAATTCTTTATTGGCAAAGTGTGATTGGACACACAAGGACTTTGTCTTGGTGCAAATGCTCTCAGTGCACATAAAAGAAAAGATACATTCGTCAAGAGTCAAGAATCATCAGGTACATCACTAAATAGTCATAGGGTACATTAAGCAATCAAATCATACTGGGAAATAGTCAATATAAAGTGACAAAGTTACAGTCATACAGTCATACAGTCACAAGTGGGAGGGGATGAGTGATAAGAAGTGATGAGAAGATTAATAGTAATGGTAATGCAGACTTAGTAAATAGTTGGACAGTGTTGTGGGAATTATTTGTTTAGCAGAGTGTAACTAAGAATGTTTAGCAGGGTGTAACTAAGTAAATCACTTCAGGGTTATTGAAATATCATCCCACCCATAACTGTGGATCCAAAGGTTTGCAGTGCTCTTTTGAGGAAGATGCCACATAAGTATCATCCATCATCATAAACCTGTAGAACTTCAAGTTGTGTAAGAAGGATATTCATCTTAGGGAGTTACTTCTCAAGTGCTCATTGTGCACTATAGATTCTCAGGAGTGACCAAAGAAGAGTAACACCCCTTAGTACCAGTTGCTGTGACGAGCTCCTTTGTTGTAGCACCTAATTTTTGACTTGTGTGCAATTTCGGCGAACTAACCAGAGAGGAACTTGGTGTGTCCTTGTTGCCTTGGTTAACAAGGGTGGGTGGGTTGGAGGAGGTGGGAGTGGAGGCATAAAGTTGAAAGCAATTGTTCATGAACCTCTTACTGCATGTCCCTTAGGATTGGTATCATCAATCTTACGACTGCGTCTGTGTCATGTTTGCCTCAGTCCCTGACTTCAAGGTATTTTACACGGAGTGCGATGTCAACAAGGAAGGGCTGGAATGTCTTCGTCTCCTGAATGAGATCATTGCTGATTTTGATGAGGTATCTCCTTTTATTGACTTTGGCTTCTGCAGTCCTCAGGGTTTCTCAAACCTTGGCAGCTTGCAGTTGTGCGGACTTCAACGTGCTGTCTGGGGAATGCTTCAAGCCCACACGCTCTTGAGAAACGCTACTCTACATAGTTAGATTTACTACTTGAGAATCTGTTCCTGAAATATTTAGAAGCGTTTGTTCACCTGTGTGATATATCCATGCCTCAGGCTTAGTAGGCTCCAGCTGAAGTAGACGAGAATGAAAGATAGATCCAACTCCCACATGAGGTTTTGGAGGTTGGTGGATGATGGGTGCGTCTCAGCAAGTGGCAGTCCCAAGCTAACCTTGCCTGAACTGGAAACCCTAGAAAGATCAGGCCTGGTTAGTACAGATAGTCCAGAGGTGGGTATTCAGCAGGTTCTGACCAGTTCTGGAGAACCGGTAGCGGAAATTTTGAGTAGTTCAGAGAACCAGCAAATACCACCTCTGACTGGCCCAGCCCCTATCTATTCTCCACCTCCCAAGTCCCAGCTGATTGGCTGGGTCTTCTTTGGTTGCCCTGCACAGGAGAACAGAGCTGGAAAGCGGGTTAGTGGGGTGGGGAGGGAAGGGGGCTTTTGTAGTATGTTTCCCCTGCTACCCCCACCAAGCCACGCCCACCAAGCCACGCCCACAGAACTGGTAGCAAAAACAATTTGAATCCCACCACTGAGATAGTCCCTGACTTACCCCACAAATTTCTGTTGCTAAGTGAGACACTTCTCAAGTGAGTTTCCCATTTTACAATATTTCTTGCCATAGTTGTTAAGTGAATCGCTGCAGTTGAGAAGCTAGCAACCTGGTTGTTAAGTGAATGTGGCTTCTCTATTGACTTTGCTTGTCAGAAGGTCACAAAAAGTGATCGTATGACCCCGGGGCCACGGCAACCGTTATAAATATGAGTCAGTTGCCAAGCATTTTGAATTTTGACCATACGCTGGTGGGAACATTGCGACGGTTGTAAGTGCCGTTGTCACTTCAAATTTCACTAAACAAATGGTTATAAATTGAGGATTGTCTGTAACTGAATAAGGCACTGCCAGGTAAATACCAGAGTTATAGATTGGACTGGAAAGCTGAACAACTATCTGGCAGGAAGAAATGTTGCCAAGAAAAAAATAAATGGTTGTGACAATGAAGTCACCAGGAGTTTGATTGAAAGGGCTTGTTGTTGTTGTTGTTGTTGTTATTCACAAAAAAACTACAGTGTGCACAGCAAACAAGATAACTATGCTGGGTTTCATATCACAAATCATTCTGAGAGTCGAAAGCATATAAAACAATCTCAAATCACGCACATCAATCACCTAAATTCTATCCTTAAGATGTCTGCAAAAAATCGAAAATATGAGACTGAATTCAGTATCTGCAAAAGCTCTTAACCTGAGTTGGATAATTTTTCCAGAGAATTTAGCGTTTCCTACCACTAAGTGAAGGAATTGACAACTCCTAAATACTATGCTTTTCTTCTTTCATCAACAGCTGCTGCTAAAGCCTAAATTTAGTGGGGTTGAAAAAATCAAAACTATTGGGAGCACATACATGGCAGCATCTGGACTCTGTGTGGTACCTGGTCAAGAGAATAATGTGGTAAGTGTCCTTTTTGAAGGGTTCATTCCTCGGATCTCACCTCCCAGAATTCTTTGAGCTGAAGTCCATGCATCTTCAAGTTCACTTCATATCATAATTTTGAAATAACTTGCAGTTCTGCTAGGGACGCGGTGGCTGAGGGCTAAGATGCTGAGCTTGTCAATCAGAAAGGTTGGCAGTTCGGCGGTTCGAATCCCTAGCGCCACATAATGGAATGAGCTCCCATTACTTGTCCCAGCTTCCGCCAACCTAGCAGTTTGAAAGTACATAAAAATGCAAGTAGAAAAATAGGGACCACTTTGGTGGGAAGGTAACAGCGTTCCGTGCGCCTTTGGGCATTTAGTCATGCCAGCCACATGACCATGGAGACATCTTTGTACAGCACTGGCTCTTTGGCTTTGTAACAGAGATGAGCACTGCCCCCTAGAGCCAGATACAACTAACGTAGGTGCAAGGGGAACCTTTACCTTTTACATTTCTGCTATTGAGTGCCATGACGTGTCTCTTTCCACCATCTGTTTAGGATCAAGAAAAACAGTGTGCTCAAATTGGTATCATGGTGGAATTTGCAATGGCCTTGATGACTAAACTAGATGGCATCAACCGCCATTCGTTCAACAATTTCCGTCTACGTGTCGGTAAGTTTGGGAAGAGGTGGGCATCTCCTAGATCTCAAGAGTGGGACTCTATTTTATTTAGGTTACACTGATGGTTTTCTTCCAAGTTTCGGTACAACTTGTGTACACTTTATACCATACATTTATTTTCTCCTTCACCATCCTGTTTATGCAGGCATCAATCATGGGCCAGTAGTAGCTGGTGTGATCGGTGCTCGCAAGCCCCAGTATGATATTTGGGGAAACACAGTCAACGTTGCCAGCAGAATGGAGACCACTGGGGAACTTGGAAAAATCCAGGTAAGAAAAAGACAGGAAAATTTGGATTTTGATAGAAGGAAACTTCAACAATGACTATTATGTAGAACATGGAGATAGCAATAGCACTTAAACTTATATACCACTTTACAGTGCTTTACAGCCCTCTCTGAGCAGTTTACAGAGTCAGCCTATTGCCCCCAACAATTTGGGTCCTCATTTTACTGACCTCGGAAGGATGGAAGGCGGAGTCAACCTTGAGCCTGGTGGGATTTGAATTATGAAATTGCAGGCAGCCAGCAGGCAGTAGAAGTCGCCTGCAGTACTGCACTCTAACCATTGCGCCACCTTGACTCATAAGATAAATTCAGCCAAGCCAGGTAGCTCTTAACTACTGGAAAATATGGGGATTTTTTTTTTTTTGCCACAGCTGTAAGGATTTGTTTCTATGATCCATATTTAGCTTTGACCCTGCAATTAAAGTTAACTGGTTTTATAAGTTCTTATGGAGGTGCTAGCAAAAAAAAACCAGGGTCCAAAATCAATCAAATATTCATTGTGGATTTTGAATGGTCTCTCAATTTTTGTTTCACGCGCAGGTTACAGAAGAGACGTGCAAAATATTGGAGAGCTTGGGGTATGCTTGCGAATGCCGAGGACTGATTAACGTGAAGGGAAAGGGAGAACTGATCACGTACTTTGTCTGCACCGATACAGCCAAATCCCAAGTTTTTTGACTCGAACGAGAAGATGCTGAAAAAATTATGGTCGAAGTATCTCGATGGACTTCGCATTTATTTTTAGCAACCATGAAATTTTGTCTCCTTGTGTAAAGGAGTTCGCGCTGAACGACTAACCGTGCTGGCCTTTTGCATCTCAAGAGAAGAACGCAAGGGGTTCTTGAAAGATGTTTACGGTTGAGTCTCGTTGAGTCTACCGTTGAGTCTAGTTGAGTTTAACCTGATGCCACTTTTGTTTTCCTGCCACAGAGGACTCAGAAATGTCTGTGGACTGGCAGTCAAGCAAGAGTATTGCTTGGTTCGAGGTGTCCTACTCTTCTCCTTCCTCCTTGCCCTTTCGTGTGGATAGATTGACGGTTGCGAGAGCACTGCCTTGAGCAAAACTGAAGATGACGAGAGACCAGATTGGAGTCTGGACCTTAAAGGCCCTTTTAGGTGGAACTGTCATCTGCTCTGCCATTAATCTGTCATTAAACTAATCAAGGAGAGAAGCAACCTAGAACCAAGGAGAAATTTCCTGACAGTTAAAACAAAGAGTGGAACAACTTGCCTCCAGAAGTTGTAAATTCTCCAACTCTGGAAGTTTTTAAGAAGAGCCTGGGTAGCCATTTGTCTGAAGTGGTGTAGGGTTTCCTGCCTAGGCAAGAGGTTGGACTAGAAGACCTCCAAGATCTTTTCCAACTCTGTTATTTTATTCTATTCTATTCAAATTTGTGATTCCTCCTCTCTTGCTACGGATACCCCAAAACCGCACTTTCACTTTTCTCCTCAACGAACATTTTGAGACTCAAAAAAACCAAAACATTTTCCTTGCGCTCCTTCTATACCCTCCCAAAATAAATGAGACCTGTGTTTTTCATCGCTACTTACCTCTTTCCTGTTCTAGAAGGAACAGCCTAAGGGAGAACCATCCCAGCTAATGCAGATTTGCTTTTCTGGAATTCACTTCTTGGGCTTGGTATCAAAGACTCGAGGATTTGAGCCTTAAATGTGCTTATTTTGGGAGGTGGGGGGTGGGGTTTGAAGCATTTTTCTTCCTTTCGCTCTTGTTTGTCTTTGCAAGATGCTATTTGAGTCCAACAGCCATTCGGTGGCCTAGAATAATGTGTCAGTGTAAAATTCACATTCTTTCTTAAACAGCAAACCCTGCTTATATAAATTATGTGCAACTCCTACTACAAGTGCGTTGCTAATCCTAAAACAGAATGATGGGATAATTCCCGGAATGGGTTGCGGTGTAGAGAAGCTATCGAGCTCTTTTTCTTTTCCTGGGTGTCAGAAACACCTTCATAATTTTGAGTGACGTAGAGCATTATGGACGATGACTCCATGTCCATGGCAGCTTTTGTACCACACAGTAAGTAAAACTGTCCTTATCCTACTGCTGAATTTTATCTAGTTTTGCGACCAAAATGAATGAGAAGCGGGCCAACTGCAGGTAGTCCCTTGACTTATGACCTCCAATCGGGACCAGAATTTCCATTGCTAAGCCAGGTGGCTTTTAAGCAAACCGTGCCTGATTTTATGTCTGTATTGCCATGGTTGTTAAGCAAGTCAATTCAGGGTCATTACACAAACCCAGCTTACTGTATTTATTTCGCTTGTTGGAAGCCAGCTGGGAAGGTGGCCAATAGCGATCGTGTGACCCTGAGAAGCTATGACTAGGCGGGGTTTGCCAAGTGCCCAGATTTGGATTGTGTGTTTCTGTGGAGATGCTGCATTGGTTGTGAGAACAAGGACCAAGTTGCTTTTTTTCCAGAGTCGTCGGAAATCTGAACAGGCACTAAATGAATGGTGGTGACTCGAGGACTATCTGTACTGTGTCCAACGTTGTCGATGTCTCTTCCTATTCTTCATCTCTAGTCTTATTTCAAAGTGGGATTCTGAGCCGTGGTGGCGCAGTGGTTAGAGTGCAGTACTACTTCTGCTGCCTGCCGGCTGCCTGCAATTTGGCAGATCGAATCCCGCCAGGCTCAAGGTTGACTCAGCCTTCCATCCTTCCAAGGTGTGTAAAATGAGGACCCAGATTGTTGGGGGCAAGAGGCTGACTCCTATGAACAAGGAATCTCCAACCTTGGCAACTTTAAGACTTCAATTCCCAGAATTCCTCAGTCAGCTTTGCTCCCAGAAAATCTGGGAGTTGAAGTCCACAAGTCTTAAAGTTGCCACAGTTGGGGATCCCTGGTATAAACCGTTTAGAGAGGGCTGCAAAGCACTGTAAAGCGGTATATAAGTCTAAGTGCTGTTGCTAAGTTGCCGTTCTGCTTTTTGTATCAGGAATTCCTGAAGAATCCCATCAGCTGTTTTTTTAAAGTGTTACTCATCTGTACCATCAACTGAAGATAGGTTTTTGACTACATGCAAAGCCGCTCCACAAAATAGGACAAAACTGTGATGCCTTTCAGGAATCGCTTGAGGGGGGAGGAAATCATGTTTTTTTAAAGCATGAGAAGAATGCCACTCGTGAAATGAAATTGACAAAAGAGTCTGAAAGAATGCTGCCTTATCTATAAATTAGTTTCTTTTAGGTGGGATTGTGGAATTGGACACACAACTGCAAAAAAAAGCGGGGTGTTTTGTTCGACACCACCAATATTGAGCAAAATTAGGGCAACCAATTGGAAGAATTACCTGTTTTTGCATAAAATAACAAGCAGGAACAAACGTGTTTATTTAAGATGATATCTAAAGTACTAGTGACTTTATGTTAACTAGTATTAAGAGCTACCTATATTTTGCTGTGGTTTTATTTCTGTTAGATCCTGCTAGTAAAGGCTTTTTAGAATGCATTTTAGGTATAAAGGTATATAACGTTAAAGAAATTGGAGTATCCTCTAGGCTAGAGTGAATCTATTAATGAGGACTGATTCATTAAAAAAAAAGTTTCACAGGGCAGTTCAATGGCAAATCCTTTTACGCTAAACTCCGTGTGCGCCCTTATTGTGTTCATTATAATTACTGTGTAATTAATATGTGGAGGATGAATTTCCTATGTTTCATGATGGGAACAAACTTCTAGTGAGGTCTTACTATAGATGAAGGACTTTTAGAAAGTCTTAGGGAGATTAAAGTAGATTATATTCAAGAGTATTAAGATAAGACAGTCCTGAGTAGTGTTAAAAAGGTCACACAACCATCTTTTTGTAATAACTGCACGTTCATGTGAATGATTACTTTTCCTTTCTTTTTCTTTTTTTAAAATTGTACATTTATTACAGGTTTGGTTTTTAAAATAAAATGCAGAAGTCAGAATGCTTTGGTTCAGAAATTCTCAGCTGCCTAACATTTCAAATCATTGTGTAACAACTGCTCATCCATGTATATGGACAGAAATGTTTTACAAAATCTAAATTGTCTCTCTTGCATCATATTGCGGTCCAGGCAAACTGGTCTAAGCTTCCACTTTTTAAGTTTTCTGTATTAAAAGTTTCATGTTGTTTGATGTTATTTCTTCTGTACTTTATATAACAAATGGACATAAGGATCAGACAGTGCATATAGAACTCCCCCTGGTCTCTACAATACAGATCATCCTAGACTTATAACCCTTCACTTATGGACTGTTCAAAGGTACGACCACAAACCATGATCCAGTGCCTGCATTTTATTTAAAGCATAATCTCTTAGATCTGCAATTAGAATAGGACCACCAGCATGGTTTTAATAGTTTTATTAGGAATTCAAATATTTAACAGATAAAAGTATACAAACAGCTTGTGCATACAATGGGGCAAATTTTACCCCTCTGCCACCAAAGAGGGAATGTTTAATAAGGATGCTTCATACAGCAACTGGTTCGCATTCGTTTTCAAGGAGAATGACGGCCTTGGGAGAGTCTTGTATATCTGGGGGGGAGAAAAAAATATCCAAAAATGACCTTACTTGCTTGCAAAGCCAGTCAAATTATTTTCAAAGTAGTTGTTAGACCAACTCAAGCCTGCTTAGGTTGTAACCTTGTTTGCAATGTAAAAGTTGGGCTCAATTACGGTCATTAAGTTGAGGACTATCTATATTCTAAAACTTGTGACTGGTCCCTAAACTTGTGACTGGTCCCTATGTGCTACTTTGCAAGATACAGTTCCGAAGCAAACAGAGTTTGCTGATAGCCTGATGATACTCACCCTCTGTAAAATCCCCAAGGCTGACCGTTTTTTCCGAAGCTGGCAGCGAAATCCCCATCGCTTTACGGACTCCATATGTGCTGACAATGTCACCTGGAGCCACCTGTTGTGCCAGCTCTTTCAGGTTATTGGTCACCTTTTCCGCTGAAAAAGTAGAGAAATGGATGGATGTAACGTTTTAGAAGGCTACTTAAAACCTTTATCTTCAATAAATGTTTCAACACCTTCCCTCAAAACAACACTATAGAGCACTGCACACCAGAACAACTAGACACAAGGACAGTTTTTTCCCAAAAGCCATCACTCTGCTAAACAAATAATTCCTTCAACACTGTCCAACTATTTACAAAGTCTGCACTACTATTACTATTAATCTTCTCATCACTCCTTATCACTCATCCCCTCCCACTTGTGACTGTATGACTGTAACTTTGTCACTTGTATCCTTACAATTTATATTCCTGGTATGATTTGACTGCTTATTCTACCCTATGACTATCATTGTTGTACCTTATTATTCTTAACGCTTGATGAATGTATCTGTTCTTTTATGTACACTGAGAGCACTTGCACCAAGACAAATTCCTTGTGTGTCCAATCATACATGGCCAATAAAGCATTCTATTCTATTCAACAACAACGTATGTTTTTCAACAAAATGGCCATTCTCACTCAGAACATTTGCAAATATTATTACTGATTATTTAAAAAATCGTAAAGGCCGGATATCAATAAATAAGCATTCTTAATTCTTACCCAAATGCATTTCCTTGTAAGAGGGGCCCAAGAGACAAATCATATTAGGTGGTGGTTTTGTACTTAGCCGTTCATTTTGAGCATCCTGGAGGTCACAAATTAATTTTGTGGTTTCATCCAGCTTTCTCTGAAATACTTCTGCTTCTGGGAAATGAAAGACAAAGCGGCGATAGCCTGATTATACTCACCCTCTGTACAATCCCCAAGGCTGCCCGTTTTTTCCGAAGCTGGCAGCGAAATCCCCATCGCTTTACGGATTCCATACGTGCTGACAGTGTCACCTGGATTTTGCCACACAAGGTCTTGTAAAGCCACCTTGACTCACCTTCAGAATCAAATTCCTCAGCAGCCACCCCAAAATTTGTCACCGCTCTCAGTGCTGTAAGCCTCTCTTTATTAAGGCCAGAGTCAGCCTTGGCGGGACCTGTTTCGATTATCTAGAAATGCAAACAAAGAGATGGTCTTAAAATCCAGGGGAAAAAAAAATAAACATGTACATCATGCTTCTCTCATCATGCGCTACGAGACTACGGTGAGTATATTTTCTTGGGAAAATCATGAAGGACCAGCTTAAAAAAAGGAGCAAATTTGAAAGAGGATCACAAGGATAATTTAAAAAAAAAACCTGCTTATGTTTACATGCTTTTACA